CATTTGGAACTGGAACGACTGTATCATCACTGACAGCCCACATCATAAACCTCAGATGATCGAGCCTCAAACGACTTGACTGACCAGATACCAACCATTGGGCTACTATAATGTTCACCTTCCGGATTGCAGATCATCGATGCAAGAGCTTCAGGATCTACAAGAGAAACATAATGACGACGGCGTGACAGCTCGTTCTCTAGTGGCCCCATCCGTCCATTCAACGCCATGATCCGCTCGCGTTCGTTTTTCATGTAGAACTCGACGTCGTGTGTAAGGATGAAAAACAAACGGTCGAGTCTCTTGTTGCGCCGATGATTAAAGTACACAGTTTTCAGTTGGTTGTGCCATGATTCGATAAAGTTGTTCGTCATCAAACGTCTACTGTCACGTTCTGCATATGCATATGCCCAACGTCGAATCTTTTCTTCAGGTAGCCACCATGTCTCGAAGTAATCCTGAAACTCTTCTTGGTCATAAAAGTCGCTTTGGAATTGCTGGATTGAACGATAGAGCTGGTCAATATTCTTTTCGAACAACAGCTGCTTCAATGCACCCAGTATTTCATAACGATACTCCTGTAGTTCATCAGCGGAATACGACCCATCCAATCGTACTTTGCTCTTCAGGTTTCGAGCCCATGCTTGGGCAACGTGAAATCCACAGTAATGAATTGCTGCGTCCGGAAACACTGCTTGGATGGCATTGACCTCCGGAATGCTGCAATCGATCGTCATATGGGTGATGTCCATGTTGCATGATTCACGGAGAAAACGTAACCACTGATGGATGGGTCCAGAGGACAAGTCATTGGTGAACATATATGCGACTGGATAACCACATCCTGTATATGGGTCGCGAATTACAATGCTGTACATGACATCCGCAAGTCGAGCTGTGATCTTATACGTAGCATCCATGCAAACCGAACGCGAGTGCTGGAGCTGCGCAAGTTGAACTGGCGAAAGGAAAGCCGAACGAATAAGTGTCAACGCTCTGTGTATACTGCGAGGGATCGCCACGGAAGATGACATAATTTTCATTCACGAGGCGTTCATTGAGCCATATATGTGCTGAAATCATATCATCGTTATAAACTGAAAAAGATCTGTCTTAAGCTATATATTTTTATCGTCAGTATAAGATAATCTTTTGATTTTGCAACCGGTACACAAAACTATCCAAATACCTTGTTCATGAGGTTGTAAACGTCTTCATAGTTCACTCTCCTCTGACCCGCTGTTTCTTGGTCGTCCATTGCGTCAAGTTGACGCAAAACTGAGATGCGGATATCACGGCAGTTGCTGGTAACGCGAAGCTGCTCGGCAATCCGTTCGACGTTATTGCGCGTCAAAGGAAGAGTGCGGGTATCAAACGAATCTCCTGGAACATGGTTCGTATGGTCGTTCAAAAGGTGAATTTCGCAAACTTCAGGCTGTTCACTCAAAATCGTAGCTTTCAAGCGACCTTCACAGCCGCACTTCTTACTGTCCTTCTGCGCGACTCTCACTGAACGTTGTGGCGAGTAGTGGCCAGCACGGTGGCAGTTGAAAGTCTCACTATACAGCACAGTGCTGTTGCTACCGGGAGTGCTGTTCGTCTTGCGCTTCGTGTTCCACTTACTTCCACATAATTCTGAGATGCGAGTTAGGCAATTCCTCCAATCGTTGGAATGAACATGCACAGGGTGATCGACATGCATTGCAAGGACACCAGGTACGGTCGAATGTCCGAGAGCGAAGCGAATGTTGTTAACGTTGTAAAGTTCGTTGTTCATGGTAAAGTAGTTGGAAGTAACTAAGGTTACTTTACTTTTCATAAACTGCTATTAAGCATACCTCTTCTCAGCCACAATGGAACACATCGTTTATCATAATCGCAGAAGGAAATCACAAAGTGGTTTTTATTGTTCGGTATGCATTAGATAAAAATGGAGCTGCTTTCTTCAAAGTATGATCTATGACGCCATACCAAACCCCATTCAACCAACCAAGTTGTTATTGGTTGAGCTTGGTATTTTTTTTTCGTTAATAGATAACTTGTGAAGCAAAACGCCTTAATACTGCCGGAACGTTCATAGGGTATATCACCATGACCATATATTGCTATGGATCCATCAAAAGAACGAAACTGTTGCTTCAGCAAGGTAATCCAACAAGATAATCCAACGAAGTAACCTGACAATACCAGAAGCGTTGTCCACTGGTTCCATCATCTTTCATCCATTATCATATCGTTGCCGCCGATACTGTTGTGCATGAAACCGTGCTACTGTACGCATACAGGAGAAGTGCTGCTGAATGCATTTGAAAACGAAAACAGTTCTATCAAAGTAAGTGCGTAACATAGCTACACAGTTCCCTTTCCCATGTCACCCCAATGACCTTTCTCCTTCCATCTCCTTTCACAATTACGTCCAATGCTAATGTAAATCATCGGAATTGAAGTGCTTCTTGTTTGAGATTTCAGATGAACGCATGTTTTTTTTTCAAAGTCGCTCAGCAAAGCCTTTTGTTGTTTCGTACGTTTTTTCTTCCTATACACGAAATCGTCTTTTTCGCGCCGTGAGTACGATAAGCTTGTTGCGAGGTCGTTTACTGAATTGCCAGCCATCTGTTTGCTCATGACACCATGATGTAAAATGGAAAAGAAAATTTTTTTCTCCAAATCGCCTACCCAACTGTTATTTCCTCCCACCCACCCCCCAAAAATCAAATTTTTTCGAACTCAACCGGAAGGAAATAAGGGGATGCGATGAACCATAGCCAATAACAAAGAAAAGGTTTGAAAGAGAAGTTGTAAGATAATGTTTATTCTTTTAGTCTAAGGGGATATTTATATGTTTTCTAATGCTAATAAAATACTACTGCAGCTTACTGCACATGATGTGGATAATAGATTTGATGATAAGGATAATAACAAAAGGGAGTACAAAGAGGTACTGCGGCATACAGCAGCGATCTGTGCAACAAGGAAGGATCATCCAAAAAGGAAACCAAAGAAAGTCTGCCAGAAATGGTGTCGTGTCACTTGTTGGTGGTTAGACCATAGCCAATAACAGATCAAAGGTTTGAAAGAGAAGTTGTCAGATAATGTTTATTCTTTTAATCTAAAGGGATATTTATATGTTTTCTAATGCTAATAAAATACTACTGCAGCTTACTGCGGATTGCTACGCATGATGTGGATAATAAATGTGATGATAACAATAATAACAAAAGGGAGTACAAAGAGATGCTGCAACATACTGCAGCAACCTGTGCAACAGCTAATACTGTCGTAGCCATTCTGGCGGGCTTCTTTGTATTCCTCTTTTTGAACAAGTCGTTAGTAGTATCTCTTTGTTGCACAGCAACGCGCTGTTGCACGAATATTACTCACAACGCGTTCATCCCTTTTAGACCCCAGCATAACTCACACATATTCACCTTGCTGTCCATATTACTCATACCATAGTCATTACATGCATTATTACAGATAATACTTTATTAGCTAGAATATATAAATATCCCCATAGACAAAAGAAATAAACATTATCTATCTACTTCTCTCTCAAACCTCTTTTCTGTTATTGGCCACGGATCTATCCGCCAAAAAGTGACACGACAATACTGCGTGACAAGGAAGGATCATTCAAAAAGGGGAAACCAAAGAAGTCCGCCAGAAATGGCTACGACAATGGCTACAACACATGATATGAAGACAACGTGACAATCAAAATAAAGCCAGCCAAGGGCCCACCGTGATTCGAACACGGGACCAGAAGATCTGCAATCTTCCACTCTAGCCACTGAGTTATAAGCCCTGCGATGCTTTAACAAGATATGTGGTGATATTTCAGGCCTTATTGTGCATCACGTGATTTTGACAACAAGTAACTATAACTTAATTATATTGATATCAAGATCATGATTCTTCTGTATCGTACAAAGATCACCCTATCTATTCCATCGTTCAGTATCACCCATTTTCACACTCTATTATTTATTTCCTTATTATCATTGTTTTCTTTATTCATTTTTAGTAACTTACTGGAAGTAGCAAAGGTAATGCTAAAGAAGGAAAGTAATACATTATCTCAAGCATTATTGGTAACGAGCACGTCACCTGTCTCGCTACGCTCGACTGAATGATCCCCTTCGCTGTGCTTCGGGTCATTCAACGGTGAGCCGGCTCGTCATCTAAACCTTATGGCCGAGTCGTTACCTGTCTCGCTTTGCTCGACTGAATGAGCCCCTACGCTACGCTTCGGGTCATTCATCGGTGAGCCGACTCAGCCATCTTAAATCCTATATTACACCCGGACACTAAACCCTATTACTAAACCCTAACAACCCTAACACTAAGTATACGACATGCACATATTTATATTATTGCTTAGAGACAACCGCTTGCTGAAATAAGCTTTTGAAATTTATTATACAGAAGTATTGGTACAGTCAAACCCCGCCTTGTGCAGAACAGGGAAATCCGAATATTTTGATGCATACAGTGAGGTTGTGCACCAACCGGGAGATAGTCCATACAGTCATACCTGCTTTGTACCGCTTTAAGAATTCCAAATACTTTGATGCATATAGTGAGGTTTTGCACGAAACGGGAGCTGCACAAACCGGGGTTTGACTGTATAGTAATTCCTTGTATCATGTATCGTCCTTGTTAGAGTTTGCTATCCCGGTCTGATGGGTGAGAAGTACCTGAGTGTAGTCATCTTGGATGGAGCACAGACGGCTCAGATGCTTATACCCCATGACTCCTCTGCCGTTTTGGCATCGGGAAGCGCAAACAGAAGATAGCTAGACGTCTGTAAGAAATGTGACCATTACCTATGAGCCACTGATATTTAACGTAAACTTACATATCTGTCCAATGTAGCTTGGTCATCCTGCACCTATGCTGAGGTAGCATACATTCAGTCCATTTATTTTATGATTAGAAAATAAGTTAGCACATTGCTATACATATATAGGAAGTACTAATATTTCTTTTGCCTTGTGGAATGGTGTTGAACACATTGTTGCAAGTGGTATCCGCTATCGACGATTATCATCAATACGGAAGGAAGAAGAGATTCATGAGCCAGGATTTTGATGGACACCTAAGTATTTGTTGCCCCTTGGCTTTTTTCTGAAATCTCAATTCTCATTCGAAGTTGCATACAACTAACTTTCAAAAATATCGGCGCGTCTATTAACTTGCTGTTCAGCAGTGTCATAGATGTAAATCTCCGTGAAACTGGGAGGGGCGTTTCCTTCAGGTACCAATGGACTAATTCGGTGGTATATGCCATCGTGGATGCGAAACGCATATGCTCCATTGCGAGCATTGATATCGTTATGTTCGACCATAGCACCCAAAGACTTAATCAGAAATGCAGTGTTGTACTTGCAAATGTTATAAAAAATGATTTCTCATTAGGCCAGAGTCATCCGGCAAGTTAAGAAGTTGAGGTGGGGCAGGGATAGGAGGAAGATCGACAATACCATGGCAGAAGCATATTTGGTAGGCTCGGCCTATTTCTTCATTCACGCGACTATCTTCTCAGGGCCAGACACGCGCACCACACGCATCACGCTGGACATCCATTACCGGCAAAACATGTCTTTGATAGTTAGCCGATTCCTTACCGTCGACAACATTGGCGCCAGAGACACAGGCGACAGCAAGCTGGCTATGATGAGCCGCAAGTGGTTGAGGTACCCTGCGAGTACGACAGCCATGTTGAGCGTGATTATGACGTCCCAGAGGGGAATACATGGCCTTCCACATGATTTTTCTGCGGAATGCTTACTTCGATGAGTCCAACCAAATCATTTTTTTTTATGTTCGCATTCGAGCCATTTGAGCGATGAGTAGATCTCACAATATTGATTTCAGCATTTTGATTCAAAATCTCGGTACCAGTTTTATCAAGGAAGTTTTCACTCATGGCAGAGGCAGTTATAAAGATTCTTATAAGGACTTTCAACACAAAGAGCCAGGGTATAAAAAAAAACGGTGCCTGTATTTCAAATAAGGAAGGAGATTTCTGGAGGGTTTTTGGGAGTTGTCTATTATATTATAGATGCTCGTGATAATGCATCATTTTTAAAAGTACAGCATTGTTTTAAAGAAAACGCAAACGTAACAATAATGCAGTACTTTCAAAATAATGCATTACTTTAGTGAGTCGCCAATAGGGTTCTCCATTCAGGTTTTCGAGTCGGGTATCTACTGACTCGTACTCGACCTGAAAAAAGTTGACTCGTACTCGTCAAATACCCGAAAAACTCAAATACTCGTACTTGAAACCCGACTCGAAATGATGCAATGGCTTAGGTGCAATTAGCGTAAAAGTAGCAAAGATCCGGGAAATCTAGCTCAATGTGACAATGTCAAGCATAAAAATGGTGATACTGGTGTAAAATGGATCTACATTGGCTTGAAACAGATATTAGTAAGAGGCAAACACTGAATTTGAGGCATGTAAAAAAAGGCGCATTCTTCAATATTGTTTTATTATTATTGTTGTTGTGAGCAGCACACGTCATGACGATGATAATTGTCAACGGGAAATGAATGGAGGTAGAAACTTCAGGCTATATTGTCAGAAGATGGCCGCAGGTAATACAAGTATGGCTTGGTAAAAAGAAAAAGCATCGGTTCTATTAACCAGCGGAGATGATCCAGCTTGAAATATGCAAAGCTGACCCAAGCCATTCGAGCTTGTTGAATGGTATATATTCAGTTGCTTCAAGAGCGCAAGATACAACGGCTACTATCTATATTATCGCGTTACAGTTAGTTGATCCACTACCACTCGTGGTATCCCGTCTATCTTGTCACAGCCATTTCTTGGCGGACTTCCTTTCATTTCCCTTTGTAGACAGGTTGTCGGGGATACTTCGTCATCTGCACAGTAATGCGCTGTTGAATGAGAATTACTCACCGCATTTGGATCCCAGCATGACTCACATATATTCACATAGTCGTCTGCATTACTCATATCATAGTCATTACACGTAAGATTACAAATGACACCATGTTAACATAGAATATATAAGTATCCCTTGCAACAAAAGCAATAAACGATATCTTTCGATTTTTCTTAAAACGACAGTTCTATATCATAACTATGTTCAACAACACCAGCTCCAGCTCGAATTCCAGTAACTGGCACTTTGATGAGGATGGTGTGAACTTGACTCCTGAGGAGGTAAAGTAAAAACTTGATTTAAAGGTGACCACCGTATTTATTTTGTTATTTCATATAGGAAACGTTTATCAGTGATGGTATAATCGACGATGAAGCCGAAGAAGGGGATAGCATGCTTCTAGGCGAGGAGCCATCCAGCATCGAATCAGTGGGCGAATCCTCAACCGCAGAAGCCTCATCATCCACATTAAAATCTGCCAATTCATGGATCATACACGGCAAATGGGGCAAACGGGAAGGCAAGAAGATCGAGTGTCTTTATCCTAGCTGCGGAAAAAAACTTTATGGAAAGGACGGACACACAACCACCCTCAAGAACCATTTACAAAGAAAGCATAATGTCACAGGAGGTGTCAACGACGGAAAGCGCAAGCCTGGACCACTTGAGGAAATGTTTCAAGGTGTCAAGCAGCCACGCGCGTTCAATAGAGAGGAGTTTATGGACCACTTACTTCGATTCCTTGTGAGAACTCGAATTCTGTTTGCAATGTTCAATAATACCGAGTTCCAAGTGCTTCTCAACTACATCCAAGGTGCTCCAGATACATATTCGATCCGACTTCCAAGTGCAAATACAATGACAGGAAAGGTAACTGAAGACTCTATACTACAGTAAAAAAAAGCAATGTTAAC